GGGGGCCTGTTTCTCCCTCTCCCTCTGCCGCTCCCACTGCTTTTGCTCTCCTGCTCTCTCTCTGCCAAATAAATAAATAAAATCTTAAAAAAAAATTTTTTTTTAAAGAAAAGAAGGGTAGCAACAACTTTAATAAGTAGTTGCCTGAAACGTACTTATCTATGTAGATTTGTAAACAGTACATAAAATATTATATAAACCGTTAATATTTTTCTCTATGTAACACATAAAAACTTTGCAGATTCCTTTCCCATGTATGATTTCGGTATTTTCCTAACATCCCCATGAGGAAGTACAAGTTTACCCTTATTTTAGAGCCTGAAAACTGAGGCCGCAAAAGGATTAAGTCCCATGTCACAGCATATGGTAAGCTAGTGAAAGAGGCTGCTGGCAGCATGACACGTAGCAAAATATATGGTAGGGATGGAAAGACACAGGAGTCTGAACTTACAGTACACTACCAGCTATGTGACTAGAGCAAGTTACTTAATTTTTCTGAATCCTTCCTCATTTGTAAAGTGCTATTAATGCCATCACAATACTGAAATGTTGTGAGGATCTAGAAAGATAACATTTAGGGGCGCCTGGGTGGCTCAGTTGGTTAAGTGTCCCACTCTTAATTTCAGCTCAGGGCATGATCTCAAGGTTGTGAGACAGCCCCTTGTGAGGGGCACAGAGATTCTCTCTCTCCCACTCCCTCTGCCCGCCCCCCTCACCCAAGATAACATTTAAATGCCTACTGTAGGGGCACCTGGGTGGCTCAGTTGGTTAAGCGTCTGCCTTCGGCTCAGGTCATGATCCCAGGATCCTGGGATCAAGCCCCACATTGGGCTCCCTGCTCAGTAGGAAGCCTGCTTCTCATTCTCCCTCTGCCGCTCCCCCTGCTTGTGCTCTCTTGCTCCTCTCTCAAATAAATAAATAAAATATTTAAAAATAAATAAATGCCTACTGTAGTGTTTGGCCCAAAGTTAACATCCAATAAATCACATCTAATTTTTCTGATGTTTTTCTCATAACCTCCTTATGTAGACTTTGGGAATGCCCTGGTTGAATCCTTTATTGTTAGTAGGTTTAATACGAGTCATATTATAGGACAGATACTCCTCTATTTTACTATTACCTACCTAAAACAAAGCCAACCTGAATGGCTTTTTCTTTTACTGCAGCATCTGATTCTGCTATGTAAGAGCACCGCCTACTGAATGAGTAGGCCAAGACTGAAGCAACTTTCACACCATGATCCATCAAAGCCTGGAAACAATGATGAAGCAAATGTCTGCAAGATAAGAAAAGGTTATTTTATAAAGGTAACATATTTTATAGTTTTACAAAGTGCTAGCTTGCTTTTTAAAAAATAACAGTACTATTATTTTCCAAGATGGAACAAAATAAAAAACCTTTTGCCTTATGAATTATGAGGCTACAATAATCCACAATTTAGCCTAATATCTTTATTCAGTAGATTACTGAGTGATCCTGTATGTGTAAACTAATGGCAGTAAAGAGTAAAACTAACTTTTAAAAACCAAATCATCTTATAATTCAACAATAACCCAATTTAAAAATGGGCAATGGATTTGAATAGAGATTTCTCCAAAGAAAATATACAAATGACCAATAAGCACATGAAAAGATGATCAACATCATTAATCATTAGGGATATGCAATCCAGAATCACAATGAGATATCACTTCACACCCTGTAGGATATGATTACTATTCTAAAAAAGTGATGGCAAAATATGTAAACACTGGAACTCTCATACATTGATGGTAGGAATGTAAAATGGTACTGCCACTATGGAAAATAGTTTTGAGGTTACTAAAAAAGTTAAACATAGGGTGATCATATGTATATACCCTAGTTACATATACAAGAGAACTAAAAACATTTGTCCACACAACATCTTGTCCATAAATGTTCATGGCAGCATTAGCAGAATAGCCAAACAGCCAAAATGTTCATCAACAGATGACTAGATAAACAAAACACAGTATATTCATACAATGGAAATTATTCAGCCATAAAAGGAAAGAAGTACTGATACAAGCAACAACATGAATAAACCTTCAAAACGTTGTAAGTAAAAGAAGCCAGTCACAAAAGACCATATATTGTATGATTCCCTTTATATGAAGTGTCTAGAATAGGTAAATTCAGAGACAGAAAGTCGATTAATGGTAGTCCAGGGTAAGAGGAAATAGGAAGTGATTGTTAATGGGTACAGGATTTCTTTTCAGGGTGATGAAAATGTTCTAGAATTAGACAGTGGTGATGGTTGCAAAACCTTGTGAATACACTAAAAGCCACTGAACTGTACAATTTAAAATGGTGAATGTGGTGGTATGTGAATTATATCCCAATAAAAAAATTTTTAAATAAAAAGATTGTAAATAACGGAAGCACTGCTTTGGATAATGGGGGGAAAAGTCAAACTACATGCTTTTAGTTTCACAAATATATTTAACACTTACCAAGGGATTTGGACTTGGTGAAAGATAACCTGAGAGATGAAAGAGAGGTATTCCACTAAATCTTTACAATGGCCATGTTTAGAATTGTATAGAGAAATTCAAATCCCAGAAAGCTAATCTTTTCTTAAATAATGGGTTTTTGTTTTTGTTTTTTGTTTTTTTTAAGATTTTATTTATTTATTTGACAGAGAGAGACAAAGCAAGAGAAGGAACACAAGCAGGGGAAGTGGGAGAGGGAGAAGCAGGCTTCCCGCCCAGCAGGGAGCCTGATGTGGGGCTCAATCCCAGGACCCTGAGATCATGACCTAAGCCGAAGGCAGATGCTCAACGACTGAGCTACCCAGGCGCCCCTTCAAGAATGTTTTTAGAAAGTTTTTCTGTAGCCTTCTTTTACCAAAATGAAATTCTCATTTATGTTTTTTTTTTTTACGGATTAATTTTAATTATTCAACTGAAAGTTTCTCTATAGTACAAAGGCCACATTTCAAAGTTACCCCTGTAACAGTGAAATTACGTTATTTACTTGTTTATTATTTTATCATTCTTCTCTAATAAAAAATCCACGAGGAAGAGACGTTGTAGATCTTATTCACTGCCGTAATCCCAGCATCTTGAACAGTACTTAAACCTAACACATACTAGGCATTCAACAAGTATATACTTAATTTGTTGAACAAATGGAACTTGGCAATATTCATATTAGAAATCAGCAATATTTTATAAAAACTACATTCTTATTTTCCTAAGGTTAGGAAAAACAAATGGCTTTTAAAGCAAATTCGGGAAGACTGCTGCTACAGAGAATAGCAAGTATAATCAAAGGTTGTGTCACTATACCTGTATGTGGCTCTTACTATATGGTAACAGCTACCGTGGGAAAGATGAATTCAATCTCCTTCTCTTGAACACAAAAAACAAGGAGGTACTGATGGTTTCACAACAATGGGAATGCACTCAATGCCACTGAAGTAAACTTAAGAAGTTACAATGGTACAATTCAGGTACGTATAGTTTACCATAATTTTTAAAAAGTAATTTTACCTTTTATCCAAAGCTCTCAATACTTTAGCAAAAACTTCCAATTCACAAAATTCACTGCCCAGTTGACATAAGCGTCCCTGTTGGTAAAGCTGAAATGAAAATGAAAAAGGTAATTTAAAAATGTTAATTTAAATTTCTACTTTAGTTATACTTATGGATATAATTTGACGGACTTAATATTTGATTATTTAATGGATACTACCCAAAGTCAGTATTATCACACAGCAGGATCAGGAAGCATACTTCTGCTGTCTAAGAGAAATATAACACTAAATTAACAATTTTTTTTTAGAGGGGGGAAGGGGCAGAGGGAGAGAGACAATCCTAAGCAGGCTCCATGCCCAGTGTGGAGCCTGACACAGGGCTCAATCTCACAACTCTCAGATCATGACCTGAGCCCAAACCAAGAGTCACATGCTTAACTGACTGAGCCACCCAGGCATCCCTAAATTAACAAATTTCTACAATTCATATAAAACATTTTAATAGTTGTGTATAAAGTTAAAAATTAATATTTATAAAATAATATCTGGTACATGTTAAATACTACAAAGTGCTATATAATTATTTATTAAATAAACTTTATAAGTTAGGGGGCACCTAGGTGGCTTAGTTGGTTAAGTATCTGCCTTTGGCTCAGGTCATGATCTCAGGGTCCTGGGATCAAGCCCCATGTCAGGCTTACTGCTCAGTTATACTTCTCCCTCTCTCTCTGCTATTCCCCCTGCTCATGCTTTCTCTCTTTCTCTAATAAAGAAATAAAATCTTTAAATAAACATAAAAAGTTACATTCAAGAAACTTATAAAATTAACTTTTTTCCTTAAACCAAACTGAATAAGGGCGCCTGGGTGGCTCAGTGTCTGCCTTCGGCTCAGGTCATGATCACAGGGTCCTGGGATCGAGCCCCGCATCGGGCTCCCTGCTCCGCAGGGTGTCTGCTTCTCCCCCTCCTTCCTGCTCAAGCTCTCTCTCGCTATCTCTGTCTCTCTCAAATAAATAAATAAAATATTTAAACAAAACTGGATAGTTAATGTAAAATTATCCAAATAATAGCACAGATAATGTCCAGAAGCCAGAATGGTCAATACGTCCACTAAAAGGCTCCTCAGACCACCACAAGAATCTCAGTTCAGTTCTGACTAACAGACATCTAAAGTAATCCAGGAAGGGGCGCCTGGGTGACTCAGATGGTTAAGCGTCTGCCTTCGGCTCAGGTCATGATCCCAGGGTCCTTGGATCAAGTCCCGCATCGGGCTCCCTGCTCCTTGGGAGCCTGCTTTTCTCCGTCTGTCTGTCTCTCATGAATAAATAAATAAAATCTTAAAAAAAAAATTAAAGTAAATAAAAATAAAATAAAGTAATCCACGAGGGCACGTGGGTGGCTCAGTCGGTTAAGCGTCTGCCTTCAGCTCAGGTCATGATCTCATGGGTCCTGGGATCAAACCCCAGATTGGGCTCCCTGCTCAGTGGGGAGTCTGCTTCTCCCTCTCCTTCTGTCTCTCCCCCTTTCTCTCTCTTGCCCTCTCTCAAATAAAATCTTAAAAAAAAAATAAAGTAAATAAAGTAATCCAGGATGAAAAAATAAATAAAAACAAAAGTAATCCAAGATGGCAGGATTTCTAATCATGTCACAATCATTTATTCATTTTGCCTGACTTTTTAGAACTTTTGTTCTAAAAATTTATTTATTTGAGGGAGAGAGAGAGAGCGCGCGCAAGAGTGAGTGCATGGGGGGAGAGGCAGAGGGAGAGGGAGAGGATCTCAAGCCAACTCCACACCGAATGAGGGAGGAGCCCGATCTCATGACCCGGAGGTCATGACCTGATCTGAAAGCAAGAGTCAGGCACTCAACTGACTGAGCCACCCAGGTCCCCCTAGAACTTCTTTTAAAAATAACATTTTAGGGGCACCTGGCTGGCTCGGAAGAACATGCAACTCGATCTTGGGGTTGTGAGTTCAAGCCCCACATTGGATGCAGGAATTACTTAAAAATAAAATCTTAAAAAAAAAAGAAAGAAAAGAGAAAAATAACATTTTAACAAATGTGTTAAATGTTTATCACCATTAATACATGCACCCAGTTAAAAAGAGACAAATACTACTACTCCACTCCAGCTTCACCAAATGCTTTTGAATTTATTAAATACAGTGCCTTAGAAGGCTGGAATTTTGTTTTATTAATTCACTTTACAGGCATTTAACTCTTAGCTCAGTTGACAGAACATGGGTTTCAGAGAGAAGACAAGATCAATTTAGAATTCATTTGCCAAATTGGCCAGTTAACTTTGTGCTGGGAAAATATACCACAAACTCAGTCAGCTAGTTCTTGGGAATAAATCACTAGTCACAATGGAAGCCAGGTCAAATTAGGTAGATACTTTAATGCAAATCAATAATGACAGCTGTGAAAAATCCCTAACTGCTGAAGGCGGGAAGAGACAAGGGACCACCACATGCCCTGGAACGGAAGGGAGAAATGTTATTTTTACATTAAAATGGTTAGACAGTCGGGCGCCTGGGTGGCTCAGTTGGTTAAGCCACTGCCTTCGGCTCAGGTCCTGATCCTGGAGTCCTGGGATCGAGTCCCGCATCGGACTCCCTGCTCGGCGGGGAGTCTGCTTCTCCCTCTGACCCTCCCCCTTCTCATGCTCTCTCGCTCTATCTCATTCTCTCTCTCAAATAAATAAATAAAATCTTTAAAAAAAAATGGTTAGACAGTCATATTATCAGTAAATCTTTATAAGGAAAGATTTGCTAATTTTGGAGATGATTATGTTTTCTGCTATAGAAAGAGCTTCTAGGAATGTACACAGTAAAATTAGTATTATTAATCACTGTCATACTTACTTTGACTATTAACCAATAGAGACTAACTTAGGGAAAATAAATCTGAGTATTTATAACCTAATCCCTACTTGGGGGCTTAACAATGTGATAAGTTTTTAATCTGGGGCAGAAAAACAGATGCAGTTAACAAAATAAATATATATACATACTCCAAAAAGGGAATAGAACAAAAAAATTTTCACTTCTTACCAAAATAACTCATCATTAGCAAACTTAAGGCTTAGAATTTCTTTTAAGATAGGAGAAATGAAAACAAGTTGTACAACTTTTTTGCCTATACTCACTAGTCAAATAAAGACAAATAACCTTCTATGTTCTACAACTCACAATATCCCTTTAATGACTAAAAACTGATATATCCTACTAAATGGGATTTGAAACTAAAATTTAGAGAAGTTGCTTCCTTAGTTACAATTATAAATATATTGTAAATATGCCCTTATTAACAAAACCCCCCTTTACTCAGCTGTTCAATTTTTCTAGCTAAAAATGGGTTCACATTTAAATTCTGAGAAGAGGGTAATGACTTAATTGTTTCAAATTATCCTTATCAGGTTTATGCAAAAAATGCAAATTTACACATTCTATGAACAGGATTTCTGGATATTGATTCAGAATAAAAATAGCATTTAATGCTTACAAAGATCTAATATGTGCCAGGCACTGTTCTAAGTGCTTTTCATAAGGAACTCATTCTATCTTTTCACAGTTAAGGAAATTGAGGCATATAAAGTTAAATAACCTGCTCAAAACCACACAATTAAGAAGTGGTAAAGCACAAATCTGGCCCCAGGCAGTCTGTCTTTACATCCATGTTCTTTTTTTTTTTTTTTAAGATTTTATTTATTTATTTGAGAGAGAGAGAATGAGAGACAGAGAGCATGAGAGGGAGGAGGGTCAGAGGGAGAAGCAGACTCCCTGCCGAGCAGGGAGCCTGATGCGGGACTCGATCCCGGGACTCCAGGATCATGACCTGAGCCGAAGGCAGTAGCTTAACCAACTGAGCCACCCAGGCGCCCCTACATCCATGTTCTTAATAACTTACGCTAGACTGCCTCTTGAAGATAATCTATCAAGAAGTAAGAGTACATATAAAAGGGTAATGTTTAACATTTTATAGAATAGAAGCTTTAAAGAATAATTCCTTCATAGATTCATTCAGCTTATGGAGTAGAGCTTGGAGAAAAGGAAACTGAGGCTCCAGATACCTTGGCAATGATTCTGTTTAAATTTTTAAAAATTTGACTTATTTCAGTTCATTATTACAGTGTTTCATATTCTTTTTTTTTTTTTAAGATTTTATTTATTTGCCAGAAAGAGAGAGAGCGAAAGCGAGCGCAAACGCGCGAAAGCGAACGCAAACGCGCACAAGCAGCGGGTAGTGGCTGGCAGAGGGAGAAGCAGGCTCCCTGCTGAACAAGGAGCCCCATGCGAAACTTGATCCCAGGACTCTGGGATCATGACCTGAGCCCAAGGCAGCCACCTACCCGACTGAGCCACCCAGGAGCCCCAACAGTATTTTATACTCTGTACCCCATGAATAATGAGGCTATTAAAGGACTCTTATCAATTACTTTTAGCTATTTATTGGTTCTTTAAGGAAAATAAGGAAAAATAGTTTATTTTTAGAAGTAGGTAAATTACCTCCCAACAGGTATGAAAACAGACAATAAAATACAACTAGAACAGGGGCGCCTGGATGGCTCAGTCGGTTAAGGGTCTGACTCTTGATTTCGGCTCAGGTCATGATCTAAGGGTTGTGAGATCAAGCCCCACATCGGGCTAATGCTGGGCGTGGAGTCTGCTTAAGATTCTCTCTCTCTACCCCTCTCCCCCACTTAAAAAATAAAAAAACAAAAAAAACCCCGACCTAGAACAATACTGTACAGGCATGAAGACAGACCAACCAACGTAACAAAATGTAAAGTTCAAAAGCAGACCTCAGTATGTGTAAAAAAAAAAAAAAAAAAATCAACATATTATGAAAGAAAAAAATTTTAAATCACTGAAGAAGTAGCTAATAAAGACTACATAAAAATGGGGAAACAAAGTAAGATGCCTCCTGACAAAATATGCAAAAATAAATTTCAGACTTAAATCATAGTAGTGTTAAAAGTCACATGGTAAACATTGCCTTTTGAAACATTGTATCACAGGCAAAATTCATAAAATAAGAGATTACATAAAACCCTAAAATGCCCATAAATAAATATTATAAACAATTATAAATACAATAAAACT